GGGGAGAGGTAGGAGGGTGGCAAAACTGCCCCCAGCTCTCAGCGCGAGTGGGCACGTGAGCTGGACACGGGCAATCGGGACCTGGCCCTCCAGCACCAGCCACGGGCTGCTCACAGGAGACCTTTCTCCCTCGCTCCAGTGTGATGACAGGAACTGCAGCCACCATCCCGGGACGGCGTGAGAGAGAGCGAGGATGACAGACACGCGGGCCGAGGTCACCGCGCAGAGCTGCATTTCCTTCCTGCGAGCCATCTAGGCTGAGGAATAAAGCGAGCTCTGACCGTCCAGGCCAGAAGAGGACCATCCCCCCTCCCCGCCCACACATACCAGGACCCCCTGTGCTGCGCCCTGGCTACACCCTGCAGGGTGGGGGCATCCAGCTGAGAGGAGAGGTGGCCAGGGCGGGTGGGCCTCACGCTAAGGCAGTCCGTGGCCCAGCACGCAGCTGCTTCTTCCAAGAATGCCATCAGGATGCAGGCAGGCTGGCTTCTGCCGCCACAGCCTCAGCAGCTCAGCCAGGCAGGAGCAGGAAGAGATCTTGATACAGGCAGCCTGGTTCGATGCGGGGCGGGGGCTCAGGGGAAATAAACCAACCCGGAGGAGACTCACTGCTGCGGCTCATCAGGCAGTGCCTTGGGTAGACCGAGTCAGGGGCTGCAGCCCCACCCCCTCCTACAGGTGCCCGGCTGCCAAGGCCGCTGAGAGCAGAGATGGCGCAAGCACTCCCGCTCGCGCAGGGTGTTATTTTTAACAGTTAGCTCTAATCTATCCTCGGTGTGTTTCTGGACGCACAGGGATGGGATGGAAATCTAATTACGGGAGCCCCAGTTGTTAAATAAGCCTGTTAGCGCCCCACTGAATTGAAAAGCTACCCGTGCTCACTCCATTCTCGGGTCTATTTTCCCCCTCTATGCTGCTCCACTCATTTACCCTGCTTACTTACCCTGAAATATTCTCCTTATGCTGGTGCCAACACTATTCTGTTTTTATTGATTACTACATTGTTTTTGCTGATTGCAGTAAGCATTGGCATTTGGTGAAGGCAATTTTAAAAAATGTTTAAATCACCCTTGCTATTCTTTTTTTTCTTTTTAGGTCACACCTGGTGATGCACAGGGCTTACTCCTGGCTCTGCATGCAGGAATTACTCCTGGTGGCGCTCAGCGGGCCGTATGCAAGGCAAACGCCCTACCCGCTGAGCTTCAACCCCACCCTTGCTGTTCTTTCTTTTTTCTTTCTTGCTATTCTTTAAAAAACATTTTGTTAAGCTATTCTTTAACTTCCCTAAGAGTTATTTTTAAAGAGAGAAACCCAATGATGTAGAAGCTACCATTTGAGAAACACAGCTCAGCCATTTAAAAAATATTCATCAAGTCCTGCAAATCAATAGCACTAATCCCAGGACATCACCCCAGAGGATGCCCTGAGGACTCCTGGAGTCCCTCTGCAGTGCTCCACACACCGGACTGTGAATCTCCTTCTGCCTTTATGGACTGGCCTGTCCAGAATGTCCCCTAGCAGTGGGACTACAGGACACGGGCGTCAGGTCTCTGATGCTCTCGCTCAATGCGCTATTCTTAAATCTCACCTTCCTTTCAGGGCCAGATAATAACATGCCACCCAATGGATAGAGGGAATATTTCAGTCTACTCCCCCCTAAAAACTTCCTTGGAAATCAGACAGGAATTGTCAAGAGTATTCAATAGCACAGCAGGTAGGGCATTTGCCTTGTAAGTGGCCAACATGGCCGACCTGAGTTCTATTCCTCTGCTCCTCTCGGAGAGCCTGGCAAGCTAATGAGAGCATCCCAGTCTCATGGCAGAGCCTGGCAAGCTCCCAGTGGTGTATTCGATATGCCAAACACAGTAACAATTGTCACAATGAAGATGTTACTGGGCCCACTCGAGCAAATCGATGAACAATGGGAGGACCGTGACAGTGACAGTGATTCATTTGGAGGGACCGAGGTTTTCCTCTGCCTCTCTGTTCGAGTCTTCCTTCTCGCTCTTCGAAAAGGCTCTACTATTTCCTTGCTCTGAGGCGGCTTCCGGTGATGCTAGGGGCCCAGGTGGTGCTAGGACAGAATCAGAGTCAGCCATCTGCAAGGGACATGCCTTGACCCCTGTCTCACCTTGCCCTCTTCTCTTTTCTCACTCTGGGCCTGTAATTGTCTTAAATTTTTTCCTGAGGAGGCATTTTATAATTTTTGTTGCTGTTATTAATGGATCTCCCCACCCCTCCTTCTAATTAGTCCGTCAGGGTGAAACTATAGATGTCTGCATCAGCTCTGGACTTCTGTCCTCTCACTTTCCCATCCCCTTATTAAGTCCCAGTTGGTTTGAAATTTTTGTTCATTCAATCACACTGTCTGCAATGAAAATAAATTCTTTTCTTTTCCAATATTAGATTCATCCCCTTATTACATTAAATTCTCTTGGTGAAGAGATGGAGCCATAGAGACAGTACAGCGGGGAGGGTGCTTGCCTTGCACGCGGCCGACCTGGATTCAATCTCTGACACCCTCTATGGTCCCCCAAGTCCGCCTGAGCACAGAGCCAGCACTACCCTACTAGGCATGGTTCAAAAACCAAAAGAAAAAAAACACAAAGAAATTGATTTTTTTTAATGGCAAATAGATTTTTAGTGGCAATATACTACATGCAAATACTGAAGTCAGACAAAATGTAAATTCAAGCAGAAGATATTTCCAACCCATTAAATATCACCAACATAGGAGGAACATCTACAAGTCCATAAGAGAGAAAGAAACAATAATTATAAATGAGCAATGATTTGAACAAATTCTAAAAGCGGAAAATTAAATCATCAGTGAATAATAAGTAGATGGGGGGGGAGCAGAGTGATAGTACAACAGGTAGGGCATTTGCCTTGCACGCGGCCGACTGGGTTCAATCCCTGGAACCCCACATGGTCCCCTGAACACTGTCAGGAGTAATTCCAGAGTGCAGAGCCAGGAGTAACCCCTGAGCATTGCCTGGTGTGGCCCCAAGACCCCCCAAAGAAAATAAATACATAAAGAGATACTCACATGGGCAAGCAGTAAAATATGATTTCCACTGAGTATAGTGGCCCAAATGATAAAAACCAATAATATTCATGTCAGGTAGGGAGACAGGTGTAATGAATGTAAATGACTAACACTTTTGGAATATAGTCCAGCAACGTCTGTTGAAATTTAGAACGCACAACCCCATTTCTGGGAACTGACCCCATGGAAATAAAAACATTGTGTCCATCCAAGGGAATTCTCGTAGGGCTTATGGCAGCGGAAATGCAGAAGCAGCCTGAGAGCCCATTATTAGGTGCAGAATTAAATCACATGTTGCAGTGGGATTTTATTTGTTTGTTAAAAAGAATAAAGTATACTCGATACCCATTATTCTAGAGGGATGCCCATAATATCCTTTCAAGTGAAAAAGCAACTTGGAGAGTAAGGGGCAAGAGCCTTCCCCCCCTACTACTATTAAAAGCAAAAACCAACAAATAAAAGCAACAGGACATCAAACCAAAAGCCACCCAACGGGGGCTGGAGTGACAGCACAGAGAGTAGGGTGGTTGCCTTGCACGTGGCTGATCCGGGTTCGATTCCCAGCATCTGAGTTACTCCGAGTACTACCAGGAGTAATTCCTGAGTGCAGAGCCAGGAGTAATCCCTGTGTGTGGCCCAAAAAGCAAGAAAAAAAAAAGGGAAAAAAAAGCTACCCAAAGAAAAGTCAACTCTGTATTAAGTGTTCATTTGTAGGAGTCCAGAGAAAGGGGCTTGGAGATGATTACAAATTGAAGAGGCAGAAATTTTCCTTCTGTGCTGACTTGTTGCATGTCTGGTGCACACTTGTGTAATTAGCCATTCACAAAGGAAGCGCAAAGGGGCAGGGAAGGGGCTGGCCTCCGAGACATCAATAAGCTCCCCTGGCTGCTCTGGGAGTGAAAAGTTCAGGGCTTGTAGCTATTGATCATCCTTTCTCCCAACAGGGCGCAAGGAAGGAAGCGGGGTGGGCCGGGGTGGGGAGGATCTGAGTAACCACAGCGGCACTAGCTGCAAAGCTGAGGCAAAAGGCAGGTGACACTGGGGGAGAGGGAGGCAGAGGGTCCCAGAGGGGCGTGGGCAGAGAGAGGGAAGCAGGGTAGGGTCTTGGCAGGGAGAGATGGCTCAGGAAGGTGGGGCCGTTTTAGCAGCCTCCAAGAATCTCTGGGGGATGGGGGCGGGGGTGTCCAATGACCCAGGGGAGCCTGCGGCCCCGCATGAGCTACCCCCCCCCCCACTCCCTGCCTTCTTTATAGCCTGGCTCCTTCATCCAACTCTGAACCCAGCCCTGCCTCCTGCTCAGGCCAGACACGCCAAGAGCCCATGCGCACTTTCCAGCATGGGCCCAGGCGTCACTCCCAGAGCGGGGCACTCGTTTCCCCGGCACCACGCTCCCTTTGGGCTAAACAGACTCCTGTGAGGGCTCAGCTCCTCACCCATCAGTTCAGCACGTGCTAGTTCTCTGCCCCCCACAACACCAGGCACTCACCTCTGCCCCGCCTGCCCTAGGGCCTGAAGTGACTTAGGCAACAAAACCACGCAGACCAGCCCCCACTGTCATCAGGGCACAGAGCTCCCCGCTGTGGGTGACCACTAGGCACGCATGCCTAGCGGGGGCTCCACACAGGCCAAGGCCCCTTTTGTTCACGAGGACCCAGGGAGTCACGCGTCCTCCCTCCCTTCTGGAAACGCAAACCCTGGGCCGAGAGAACCATCTGGACACCCCTGGGGTGACGCATCTTCAGTGTTGCAGTAAGGCTCAACAGACAGTCCCCTTCTGCAGAGTTCTGCCACAGTACTCACCATCCCCACCCCCAAACCAGTGCAAGGGGGGTGATGCGGCCCCGGGGATGTTTTGTCGCACACGTTGGGGGTGCAGCAGCTTTGCAGGGGCGAGTGGGGAGCTGAGGGGCGCGTGCTGGACATCACCTGGGGGAGAGGCCAGGGGACCTACCTCGTCCTCGGGCCCATGTGTACACACGGCTGGTCTCTGTGCTCCGGGGGGGCTCCTGCTCGGCTGGCTCCACGGGCAGAGGTCGGAGGTGGGGGTCATCCGCCCGGCCGGGAGTCTTGAGTGGCAGGATGTACTTGGGGAGCCCTTTGAAGAACCAGGCTCCCGACCTCTTCCAGACCTGGAGGAGGGACAGCTGCTTAGTCAGGGTGTAAGAGCAGCGCCCCAGAAGTGCGCAGAGTGGCCTGGCTCTGGGGGGTGGGGGTGGGAGTTGGGGTGGGGGTGGTGGGGCTCTGGGAAAGCCGCCTATACTCCCTCTGCTCGCCTCCCCTCAGGACTCCGTGGAGGTGGAACAGCCCTGGAGAAGTCCTTTAGGATTCCACAGCCCCCCATCCCCTCTACACGCACACACAGCCCCAGATTCCTAACTGACTTATTTGCAAGAGTGGAAGGTCTTGACCCCGTGCCAGACTGTCTTCACAGGATACCTTGGAGGGGAGGTCAGGTTGAGTTTCCCTCCCCACCCCAAGCAGCACCCCGGCAACCAAAAACCTCCAGAAATCAACTGCCGCCATGCCCAAGGCCACCCTCCACACACTCGAATGAGCTTCACCCATGAAGGAACCGGCAGAGGAATCCAGGTAAGCGGGACCAGTGGCTGAGATCTCCAAGCCCACTCGGATCGGGACTGGGCCTCCTCCACCCAGATCCCCAGTTTTCCAGTAGCTTGGCAGTCACACCCACAAGCTGCCCCCGGCACCATGTAATCTTATTAACAGCCAAGATCCAGAGACTATAAACTGAAGCTCCGGGAAGAGAACAATGCAGAATTTCCTAGAGCTCATGTCTGCAAATGCGACCTCTCATACTCTAGCCCACTTACGTACAAAAAGCAGCACACATCTGTTTGGTTTTAACATACTTGCTTGTATTCTCTTACATATGGGCTTAAATGGCTCCCGAATGACATACAAAAACCTCCACACACTTCCCTCTTATTGTGGTGGGAAGGTGCTCGGTGGTGGGATTGGTGTTTGAATATTACCTGTAATGAACTATTGTGAACTACTTTATGAAAATAAAATATATAAAAATCGCAAAAAAGGATAAAGAAAAAAAGAGTGGGAGGTCTCGAGGTGGGAGCTACAGGACAGTGGGGAAGACATTTGCCTTGCAGGAGGCCGACCTCATGTGAACCCTGAACCCCCAAGACCTCCAGGGCTGCTCCCCCTCCCAGAAGCGGCAGGTCTTCTGCACCTCTGTGCCATCTGATGATGACTTTTCTTGGAGGAAACTCAGAGGTTTGAACTAGTGGAATGGCTTGTCCAAGGCTGCTGGTGTTGTGGCCTCAACACTAACCGGAAGCCCCAGAGTCTCTTCCCAAGAGGGCAGGGAAGCGTCACGGGGGAGCAGAGGAAACAGCAGCAGCTGCCGAGGATGCCCTGTCTCTCAGAGCACTGGAAGCGGGGTGCCCCTGGTCCTGGGGGTTGAGGAGGGGCTTGGGGGCCGTCCTCTGCCAGGCTGAGTGGCCTAAGTACTGGCTCTGCCTGCTGGCTCCCACATATCTGCTCCCAACCAGGGCCCAGTCTCAGGCAGACCCAAGCATGCTAGCCTTCAAGAGTCACAGAGCAGGGCTCCAGGGAGTACTCCACGTTGCCTCCTACCCCCACCATGCCAGCTACATTGTCTCTTAGAGGTTTCCTTCCTGGGAAACCACACAGAGCACCTGCCAGTAGGCCGATAACAACAATGTCAAGCGAGAGCGGCCAGACAGGTGCCAAGACCATGCTTGCGCCTGTCCCCATGGACACACAGACATGTATGTCTGCATTCCTTTGTTTTTGTTCTTGGGCCACACCTGGAGATGCACAGGGGTGACTCCTGGCCCTGCACTCAGGAATCACTCCTGGTGGTGCTCAGGGGACCATATGGGATGCTGGAGATCAAACCCTGGTTGTCTGCATGTAAGGCAAACGCCCTACCCACTGTGCTCTCTCTCTCTCTCTCTCTCTGGCCTTACATTTCTTTTTGTTCGGCATTATTGATCTATCCCTGCCCCTGTCCTTTTCTCGTTACTGTTACCATTAATGATGTTGTTAATGTGTAGTTCTGGGAACACCCCAGCTGTGCTCATGGATCACTCCTGGTGGGACTCTGGGGACCATATGAGGGTGTTGGGGATTGAACCTGGGTCAACCAAGCACCCCACCCACTGCTCCGGCCCCAGGAGTTTAGGACTCTGAATGCGGGAAGGTCTGCTTGCTGGAAAGGTACATATGCCTCTGCGCTCGCTCCAGGCCAATGTTCATCTTTTTAGAAGACTGTGTCTTAGAAGGTCTGTTTTTGTCCCCACTGAACTATGTATCATAGAAGCTGCTCCGTTTGAATAAGTAAATGGTCTCCACCATCATTTTTTAATGGCGCCACGGTTTGGATTTATTGAACTTAATTAAACAAGCCCCCACAGATGGAAATTTAAATTGTCTCCAATTTTTCACTCCTGTGAGCCAAGCTGCACACACAGCTCCAATACGTGGCAGCCACTGTCTCTCCAGAAATATTCCAACAAGAGTCCAAGGATGTGAGCACGTTCCGATGGCATCTACGTCGTCTGGCCACCTCCAGGACAAAGGCACCTCCCCAGGCAGGGACCCAGACTGCACCTCCTGGTGGGGCCTGGGCTGGGCTGGAGACCCTGGGCCCTGGGCTTAGGGGTGCTCATCAGTGTGGTGGTCAGCAGAGTTAGGAGCCCTTCTGCCATTCTAGAGCATGCCTCTGTGGGCCAAGAGTGCCCACTCCCCAGTGGTCAGCTGAGACTGTTTGAAGGGTGAGAACAGGATACCAAGTGGCACTTGGGAGCCGATGGGGATCGAGAGCTCGAATTGAGGATTCCTCACACGGATCACGCACTGTGCTCCCATCAACCATTCCCCATCCCTGAGCCCTGTTTTCCAAGGAAAAAAGGGTAATAAAATACACACAACCTAAAACTGTCTTGACCAGTGTTTTTGGCTTGGGGGAGGGTTGGTGTCCAGGACTAACTCCTGCTTCTGCAGTCAGGGATCATTCCTGGCAGAACCTGGGAGTCGGGGGATCGGGCCCAGGTCAACCAGGTGCAAGGTACGAGCTATGCCTGCTGTACTATGACTCCGTCCCCTGACCCCTACGTATGTGTCATGTGGGCAGTTCACTGTGCCCAAGTCACTGTGCAGTGGTCTCCGAAAGTCCCTGGCTTGTGATCCACTGACCCACCAGATAACTTCTGTTCCCTCTCCTGGGCACTGGGCCACAGCCCTGTGTCCAGTCTCTGTGGCGGTGATGACCCTGTGGGCCTCCACAGGTGACAGCACACAGGTGAGGGCGTGTTTTACTACAGTGTGTGACATACCAGCCATCATTTCATTACAATTCTGTTTCAGTTTGGCTGTGTTGAGGGATCACTCCTGGCAAGGCCCAGGGACCCTATGGGGTGCCCAGGATCCAACCCTGCTGGGCCACATGCAAGACAAGCGCCCTGCCCACTGCATTATCTCTGTGCCCCCCCCCATGATGATGCTGATGAAATAGACATTCCAGCTGACACTGAACCAACTGCCATTTGCAAATCTTCTGTTATGTGCCATTTCACTTAAAAATCACAGTTTCCGGAACCCGCTGTCGATGCTATGCCAGGACTGAGGGTACAAACAGTATTTGGCTTATCTCACTTAGCACAGTGTCAAGTTTCTTCCTTGTCACAACAGAAGTGCGGGCCTTCTTTCCGAGACCCAGTAGGGCCCTGATGTCTGCACTGACTGTGCTACGTCCATCCACCCAGTCACTGAGGGGCACTTGGTCGGGTCACCTTTTTGGAGGGGGTCTTTCATTCAATCTGTGTTGTAGGAGGCCCAGTCCCCTAGGAGGGAGGGGCAGGGCCTGTCTGTCCACCAGTGTCTCAGGCTCCTAGAGCATGCTGGCACGTGGTAAAATCTCACGATGTACAGGTCACATGGCTGGGTGGACAGCTGCGGCTATCTGACCCTCTCCCAATTGATAGTGTTGCCTTTCTGTGGGAGTGGCTGAGGGGTTCCCCTAAGTTCTTGCAGTTACTCAAAGAGACTTACTAGGCGGGATTTAGGAGGGATGGAGAACCTGAGAAGGGATGAGCCTCACCCAAAATGGGATGAGCCTCACCCAAAACGGGAAGAACCTCACCCAAGAGCGGACCAGCATGAAAACCCAGGTATGTGGGACCTGTGGCTGAGATCTCCAAGCCTGCTTGGATCGGGACTGGGCCTCCTCCCCCCAGGTCCCCAGTTTTCCAGTAGCTTGGCAGTCATACCCACAAACCGCCCCTGGTGCGATGTAATCTCATCAACGGCCAAGACCCAGAGACTATAAACTAAAACTCCCAGAAGAAAACAACACAGAATTTCCTGGACATTATATTCTATCCATAACAAGCAATACAAAACAAATCGTCTAGCATTGCCTTTTCGGCAAGTTTGAGTGGTGGTGGGACCAGTGTCAAAACATCGAATGTAATCAAAGTAGAGAGAGAGTGGGGGGGAAATTGTCTGCCACACAGGCAGGGGAAGGGTTAGAACAGGGATGGGGGAGGAATACTGGGGATTTTGATAGTGGAAAATGTGCACTGGTGGAGGGATGGGTGTTTGATGATTGTGTGATGGAAGCTCAGACATGAAAGCTTTGTAACTGTGTCTCACGGTGAATCACTAAAAAGGGGGGCAAAAAGAGTGATAATAAAATAATAAAATAAAATTAACATTCTGAATAAAAAAAAGCAATGTGGAGTTCATGCCCAATTCAATCAGCTTAATTAGTGGCTGAATAAACAGCAGTACTTCTACATTTCCCTCTCAGAGAGCCTGGCAAGCTACCGAGAGTATCCCGTCCGCACAGCAGAGCCTGACAAGCTCCCTGTGGCGTATTTGATATGCCAAAAACAGTAACAAGTCTCACAGTGGAAATGTTACTGGTGCCCGCTCAAGCAAATCAATGAACAACAGGAGGACAGTGCTACAGTGCTACTTCTACATTACATATATATATATACACACACATATATATACATATACATATATATATGTATATATATATATTTTTTTTAAAAAGAGGGCTGGAATAGCCGAGATAAATACCAGGAGGATTGCTCCATGGCTTTGAGGCCAGCCACACATG